ACTGAAGAACAAAAGGACAGCAACTTGTCTGTTCCCCTTCCCCGATTCCCCAAAGCTGTTCCCCTCCCTCAATTCCCCAATAAAATCTAAAAAAAAAAAAAGAAAAGAAAAGGAGAAGATTGAAAGTATTCAAGATTTTGGAGCCTTTAAAAAATCTTTTCTAATGCATAGGTTGCTGAAATTTGTGTTGAGGCTTGGCTTGTGGATTTCCTCATTGCGGCCTGTCCATTTCACAAGTGCAGGCTCTCAGACCTCTGTGTTGTGTGCAGCTTCTCACTGTGTGTAGCGGAGGTGGGAGAGCCCTGCCTTGGGTGTCGTTAGGAGGACGAGTGGAGCTGAAGTATATTTTGGTTTTGGCTGAGCCTGAACCTGATGGTTGCATCTATATTACAAGAATGTAGCAACTTAGAAATAGTCATTTATTCCACCCTATTGGGGGGTCGTTGCTCTAGTGAACAGGATCAGGGTTTTTGGTGGTTTTTTTTTCATTTAAAATGCAGACACACCACCTGAACAAACCCAACACTGCTATTTCATAGCCATGGAATTTGCCGGGACGAATACACATCAGTTATTCAAGAACAGGTCTGAAAGATGCCACAGTAACCAAATGAAAAGCTCAGACATCCAAGCTGCTATTTTATCTACAAATGCTCGACAACCGTTTGCCTCATTTAAAACCAAGCCAACTGGTTATTAGTGGGACTGATTGACTCAACTGCATGTTTTATGTCCACAAAAAGATGTAAACATTTTCCATTAGAAAGGGCTTCCACTCCATTGTAGAAAGTGACGTGCTGTTAGCCAGTTTTCCTTCAAATGTGACTCTCTGGGAAGAATACAATTAAATAGAGAAAGAACCAAGCTTCTCCCTACTTGATTCTCATTTCCCCAGAATTCTGTGACTCAACATAGAATCCAGCTACAACAGCCTTCAAGGCTCCTTCACAGAACCTGTCAGGGTGCACCCTTCCTGCCATCGGAACTCGGCTGATAGCCTGTCAATACAATTATAGGGAAAGACTGCTGGGTTTGCTCCACTGACAGCCTTGAATCTGCCATCGCCCTGGAGAGGCAGGCTCTGCACAGAGGTGGAATTGATGGAATTGAGCACCCTTAGAAAGTGCAAAAGATCACGGCACCCGATTTTTTCATAATTTATTACTGATTTTGTTTTTCTGTGGGAGTTTATGTCACAAATAAGAAGCGCATGCATTTGTAAAATACAGTCACATACGTCTTTGGGGCTGAGAGGAGGCTTGCAGACATCTAGTTTAAATCCTTTTTTGAGGCTATTAATGCCCAGACAGGAGACGAGACTCATCCAAGATGCCACTCTGACCTGGTCGCAAAAGTGAGATGAGATTGGTTTGTGTCTCCTGACTTCCAGCCCCATGCATTTTTGGCCACAATACACTAATTAATTAATGACAGCCCGGATTAATTACACCTGTAGAGCAGGCAGTCCAAAACGTTTCCCACTAGATCTGATTCCCAGGTCATTTCACTCAACATTCCTTCCAGCGTGAGCTCTACTAATTTCTTGGGATTTGCTGACAGTCAAGATATTTATTGAGTGTTTACTAAGTGCCCAGCATCATCCTAAGCTTTTTTGGGGGGCACAGAAACAAGTTTAGAACTCAGCCCTTGCCCACAAGGAGTTTGCTATTTAGCTGGGGAAACGGAGTATATATATGCCATATACCGAATACACACATATATATCGCATGCACATATACGTTGCTTAACACAGCACCTGCCTCAAAGAAAGCTCTCAGGAGATATTAGCTCTTATTTTTGCGCGTGCGTGCATGCGCACACACACACTAACACACACTCACACACACACACTCTCACACACACACTCACACACACACACTCTCACACACACACACACACNGGGAGGGGCTGTGAGTGGAGTGGGGATGGGTGGAGGGAGGGTATCTTTGACTTGGAAGTCAAGTGTAAATGGCCCTTAGCTTAGTAGAGACCCGTCGCTTTTTAAGACAACACTTGGTGATTCTTGGGGTTTTCTCACAGCTACTTAAGACAACTCTGAACAGGTCCACTTTGGTGGCCCATGATCGCGCCAGAACCGTTGGCGTCCCGTCGCCATGGAGACGGACTGTGCCATTCTTCCTTAAGGGGTGGTCTTCATTGTCTCCCTTTTCCCAGTTCACAGCGCGGCGCACAGAAGATGCTCTGAAGAACCAGAGCGACTTATATTGACATTGAGTCCTCCTAGCAACTAAAGGGCGGCTGAGATTGCCTGAACCTGCTCCGGAGGGAGTCCGGTGTCCGGCGTCCACCCCGGGGTCCGAGTGGTGACGTCCGGGACGCGCGGTGGGCTCCTCCCAGCTCCGCGCCGGCCCCCAAGCTGGGAAGCGCGCTGGATTCAGCCCCCGGGTCGCCACCTCGCGACCCCCAGTATGTCAGAGGCAAAGAGCCCCCGCCAGGACCTCATGCGATGGAAGAAGCAGCCGGTGCGCCGCACGGTCAGCCAGATCTGCCCGCCGCCGCGGCGGCCCCTGACCGTGGCCGACATCCAGCCGGGCATGGAGAACGAGAGGCTGGGGGTCGTGCGGGATTCCATGTTTCAGAACCCGCTCATCGTCAAGGTGAGCCGCCCGTCATCCTTTCGCGCTCGCCCCCTCACTGAGCACCCACGCGGCTGGGGGGTGTCCACTGGTTCAGCCCTGGCCCTACCGCCCGGGTCCAAGCGCAGCGCTGGAAGCTCATGTCCAGAGAGACCTGGGCCCCTTCGCGGTCACCGGCAGTGGCATTGCCTCTCTGAGCCTCAGTTTCCTCATCCTCAAAGTGGGATGATCATGGCACTCATTAAAGACAATGGTTAGGAAGATTGAACACGGTGATCCCTGCGGGACCCCTGGCACAGCGCCTGACACGCGCGATGCGCCCGCAATGTTGGTGACTGCTGTTTCCCCAGGCGCCTGCTGGTGACTCCACAGGGTGACAGGTCGCACGCAAACGGATTATGACCTTACCACCCGCCAGCCCTCTCTGGGTGCCAGCCGCCTCCTCTCCCCCTGCACGCTGGGCTGCTGCTATGCTGTGTGCTCTGTATCTCTCTCCTGGAAGCACCACTGCACACGTTAATTTCAGCCCGATCAAACTCAGATCCAGAGTCACAACACTAAGAAAAAAGCACGGATCTCTGTACTCAGAGGCCCCGCAGGCACGAGGGAGGGAGCTGCGGCTTCTAACTAGATCGCTGCTCCTTTTAAAAAGACTTTTATTGAAATATATTGTAGCTAACATACAATATTATATTAGTTTCAGGGGTACATCATAGTTATTCAACAGTACAGAGTTATTACATTAACTGGCACTATACAGAGTTATTACATTATTGATTATATTCCCTGTGCTAAAGAAGTGATCACTGTGATTAAGTCCAGCAACAATTTGACACCACACTACACTATCACAATATTATTGACTGTATTTCCTATTTCCAGGACTTATTTGTTTTATACCTGGAACTTTGAACCTCTTATTCCCCTTTATCTTTCTGCCCTTTAATTTTTCAATTACAGTTGACATTCAATATTATTTTATATTAGTTTCAGGTGTACAGCATACTGGTTAGACATTTATATAATTTAGGAAGTGATCCCCCTGACTAGTACCCGTCTGGCACCGTACACAGTTATTACAATACTATTGACTATATTCCTTATGCTATACTCTACATCCCCATGACTAATGTGTAATAACCAATTTGTATTTCTTAATCCCTTCCCCTTTTTCACTTACCCCTAACCCCCCTCCCATCTGGCAACCATCAAAATGTTCTCTGTATCTATTAGTTTCTGTTTTGTTTTGTTTGTTTGTTTTTTTGTTCTTTAGAGTCTACTTATAAGTGAAATCACATTGCATCTGTCATTCTCTGTCTGACTTACTACACTCTGCCCAATACCCTCTAGGTCTATCCAAGTTGTCGCAGATGGCAAGATTTCATTCTTTTTTACAGCTAAGTATATTCCATTGTATATATGTACCACCTCTTCTTCTTCTTCTTTTTTTTTTTTTTGGTACCATCTCTTCTTTATGCATTCATCCATTCAGGGACACCAGGTTGTCTTCATATCTTGACTATTGTAAATAATGTTGCAGTGAACATGTAGATGAGCACGTCCCCTCGAAGTAGCATTTTGGGTTTCTTCAGATAGATACCCAGGAGTGGGAATACTGGTCCTTCTTTGTCTCCTGTTATAGTCTTTTATTTAAAGTCTATTTTGTCTGGTATAAGTATTGCTACTCCAGCTTTTTTGTTTGTTGTTTTGTTTCCATTTTCGTAAAATATCTTTTTCCATCCCTTTACTTTCAGTCTGTGTGTGTATTTCATTCTGAAGTGAGCCTCTTGTAGGCAGCATATGTAAGGGTCTTGTTTTCTTATCTATACAGCCCACTATCTTTTGATTGGAGCATTTAATCCATTTCCATTGAAAGTAATTGTTGATAGGTATGTAGTTATTGCCATTTTATTATTCATATTTTTTATTTTATTTTTCTTCGTCTTAAAGAATTCCCTATAAGATTCATTGTAATACTGATTTGGTGGTGATAAACTCTAGCTTTTTCTTGTCTGGGAAGCTCTTTATCTGTCCTTCGATTCTAAATGATAGCTTTGCTGGGTAATCTTGGTTGTAGGTCCTTACTTTTCATCACTTTGAATATTTTCTGCCAATCCCATCTGGCCTGGGAGCAAAGTTTCTGTTGATAAACCAGCTGATAGTCTTATGGGAGCTCCCTTGTAGGTAACTAACTGCTTTTCTCTTGCTGCTTTTAGGATTCTCTCTTTGTCTTTAACCTTTGGCATTTTAATTATGATGTGTCTTGGTGTGGGCTTCTTTGGGTTCATCTTGTTTGGGACTCTCTGCACTTGCTGGGCTTGTATGTCTCTTTCCTTCACCAGGTTAGGGAAGTTTTCTGTTATTATTTCTTCAAGTAAATTTTCAATTCCTTGTGCTCTCTCTTCTCCTTCTGGTACCCCTATAATGTGAATGTTGGCACCCTTGATGTTGTCCCAGAGGTCCCTTAAACTCTCCTCAGTTTTTTGGGTTCTTTTTTCTTTTTGCTGTTCTGATTGTTTTCTGCTACCTTATCTTCTAAATCGCTGATTCAGTCCACTGCTTCATCTAATCTACTGTTGATTTCTTGACTCCTTGTAATGTATTCTTCATTTCCATTACTGTATTCTTTATTTCTGACTGGTTCTTTTTTATGTTTTCTATCTCCATTTTTATGTTTCCTATCTCTTTGTTGAAGTTCTCCCTGAGATCATTGAGCATCCTTATAACCAGTGTGTTAAACTCTGCATCTGGTAGATTGCTTGTCTCCATTTTGTTTAGCTCTTTTTCTGGAGCTTTGTTCTGTTCTTTTATTTGGGACATTTTTTTTGTCTCCCCATTTTGGCTGCCTCCCTGTGTTTTTTTCTGGGTATTAGGTAGGGCTGCTGTGTCTCCCACCCTTACTAGAGTGGCCTTATGTAATAGGTGTGCTGTGGGGCTCTGTGGTGCAGTCTTCCTGGTCACCTGAGCAGTACATTTCAGTTGTGTCCTTTGTGTGGATTGTGTGTGCTCTCCTCTTGTAGTTGAGCCTTGGTTACTGTTTGCACATCAATAGGAGGGATCAACCCTCAGGCTCATTTTTTGTGAGGACTGGCTGTGACTATAGTGGAGGAGTTGTGGTGAAGGGGCTGACCCTACAGAGCAGGATCTGCCTCAGCAGAGCTCCGGTGCCTGCCCGATCCACCCAATCAGTGTGTCGTCCTTAGAGGCAGCTGGGAGATGCTCCAGCTCATTTTGAAGCTGGCCACTGGATGCGACAGCCCCAGGGCCACCTGGGAGGGGACCCACTGCAGGTCAAATCCAGGGGCCACCCAGCAGGAGCCACAAAGCAATCTGCAGATGGCTGCCGCCTGAGCCTTGCTTGGAAGTGCCTCTCGAGGCCAAACCACAAACCAATGCTGGCTGCTGCTAGTGCTGCTGGGCTTAGGGCTGCTCAGCCAGAGGTATGGGACATGCTCAGAGTAGATGCTGCTTGTCTTGGTTCTGTGAACCTTTGAGAGACCCTATGAAAGTCTGCAGCATAGGCCAAGACAGGCTGTTTGTTTGGAGAAACCACTGGAAGTGGCTTGGTGTGCCCAAAAGTTGGGTGGGGTGGAGTCTCAGGGAATCTCTAGGGTGTGGCAGACGAATGGCAGATATGGCAGCCACCTGCGTCTGTACACAGGGAAGGGGGAGGGCTCAGCAAAGAAGAATGGCTTCCACCAGTTCTTCCAGCTGGGAGAAAGCTGCCCCTCCAGTCCTCATAGTGAAACCAGACAACTCAGTTACCCGCTGTATGTCCCTGTCACCTCTCCACCTGCTACCCCAGTGCTGGAGCTCAGAACCATTGATTCTGTTGGTAAGTCCATACACGGTCCCTTTAAGAGATGTGTCTGGGAGTGCAGCTGCCCTCTGTCTCACTTAGCCACAATCTCCGCTGGTTTTCACAACCAGAAATTATGGGGACTTCTCTCCCAGGCACTGGAACCCTGGGCTGGGGAGCCTGGTGTGGTGCTGGGACCCCTCGCTCCTTTGTGGGGTATCTCCACAGCAGATTTTTAATGGTCATAGGCTGGTGTGGGACCAGCCTGTTCTACGTCTCTGCCTCTCCTACCAGTCTCGAGGTGGCTTCTTCTGTATGTCTTTAGTTGTATTTAGTTGTAGGACTTTGGTTCAGCCAGACATCAGGCACTTCTCAATGATGATTTTTTTGTAGTTTAGTTGTAATTTTCATGTGGCTGTGAGAGGAGGCAAGCACAGCGTTTATCTGCTCTGCCATCTTGCTCAGAACTCCACTACTCCTTTTATTGCATGTTCCCTCACTTTAGTCTCATCTCATTTGTGGACTGGTGATCACCCAACACGCAACACTTTTTTTAGCCCCCAGGAAAGGTCAAGTTGAGATTTGGCTGTTGGGAAGTGGGTCACGGAGCAAATTTATCTTGCGCCACTGGAGGGCAGTGTGCTTTTAAAAATGATTGCAGTTCCCAGATATCAAAAGTGGAAGGCTAGGTAGTAACCATGGGCTCTGAAACAATTTTATTTATCTGCACGTCAAGCGTTGATTAGAGCCCAGAGTTTTTGTTGGTGAGTTTTTTTTCTT